AGCCTGCGTAGAGGGAGAGGCTCTATTGTGGGGGGCCTCCCACCGGGGGGGGGGGGGGGTTCCCCCCCGGGATTTCCCTCCGCGGGAGGAGCGGGCCCCCCTCCTCATGGGCCCCCCCCTCTGGTGATAAAAATATTTTGGGGAGGGGGGGGGCTGCCCCCCGGGCGCCCCTTTGAGTTAAATCCTCCCCCCTTGGCGCCCCGTCTTCTCCAAAGGGGGCCCCGCGGTTCATACCCCCGGCCTTTTTTTTTCCAATTCCAGTTTTTTAGAAAGGCGCCTGGAAACCCAAAAGAGAATTCCCAAAGTGCCTTGGCCCCCCCCCCCCCGCGGTGGGACCCCCAGAAAAAAACTCCCCGGGTCCCTGGTTTCAAAATGGGCCCCACCTCCTGGCCTTTTGTCCAATCGGGGGGGGGGAACCCAGGGGGCCGGGAAGGCTTTTTTCCTTTCCTCCCCTCCTTCCATTCGCCCTCCCTTTTTTCTTTTTTTTTTTGGGGGAAACTTCGGGTTTCAAAAAAAATTGGCCCTTAAAAAAAGAAGTTTAATTAACTCAAGATGCAATGACTCTGAACAGCCTTGTCTCAACTGCTAGGAACAGTTTTTTCTTTTTTCTGCGAAACTTTTGCCTTCTTTTTAGTCCGGGGGGGTTCTTTCGTTTTTTTAAGTTAAATAAACCATGGTTTCCAGGGGAACGGGAGCGGGTATGGGTGTGGGGATGCGGGGAGGTGGGCCAAACGGCTTATTTCCCGGATTTATCCTTACGAAAGGCAGGAGTTCTGCTTCCTTAAAATAAAAGTTTTCGGGGGGGGGGGGGGGGGGGCAAAAAATAAATAAATAAAAAGCAGACAGATCAACTTTTAAAGAGCCACAGTGCAGTGCCTGTCACACCCACTGGCACAACTCATTACCGGTGACGCGGCCGTGGGGGAGAACGCACTGCGCATCCTCCACGGAGTGGCCGCAAGGCCCAGCGACTCCGCACGCTCAGACCCGGACACCCACACCCAGGCTCAGCGCGGCGTTAATGACAACAGCAGCCCCGTGCCCACGGCCAGGTGAACGCGCCCACAGGTGGCTCACCGTAGAGCCTCGGAAAGGCAGGAGACCCGACCCGTGCCACCATGCGCGTGAGCCTGAGGACGCTCTGCTAAGGGCACCAGGCACCGGGCAGGCGCCGGGCAGGCTCCAGGCAGGCACTGGGCAGCCAGATCCACAGGCGCAGAGCCGGCGAGAGGCGGGCCAGGGCTCAGGAACTCGGGGTGGGGGAACAGGGAGCTCGCGGTTAATGGGAACCAAGTTCCACGTTCAGCGTGAGCAAGTCCTAGAGGGTTTCTTTTTTTTTTTTTTTAAGATTTATTTATTTATTTGAAAGGTAGAGTTAGAGAGAAGGAGAGATTGTGAGAGAGAGAGAGAGGTTTATCTTCCATCTGCTGGTTCACCCCTCAAATGGCTGCAACAACCAGGGCTGTGCCAGGAGCCAGGAACTTCCCCCTGCTCTCCCATGGGGTGCAGGGCCCAGGGACGCGGGCCATCCTCCACTGCCCCCCAGGCCACAGCAGAGAGCTGGATGGGAAGTGGAGCAGCCGGGACTCTACCTGGAGCTCCCGCTCGGACGCCGGTGTGGCAGGCGGCGGCCTCACCACTGTACTATGACACTGGGCCCGCGCTGTTTTTTTTTTTAATCAAGAAAGCAGAAGAAATGTCAACGAGAGTATTGGCCCCGTGAGAAGTCTCGGTCATCTCAACCTCGGCACAAGCCTGTGGCTGGAGCCACAGCCCAGGCAGAGGACCCCAGTGGAAGCAGGCCCCGCCCGCTGACAGAGGAGCAGTGGAGATGGGCGTGGCGAACCCAGTGCCCTGCCCACGACCTCCCGGGGGCGGCCGCTGGCTGGGGCTGGGCTGGGGCGTCCCCGTGGCCGGCCTCCCGCGCTCAGCACTGCCTGGGAAGCCCGCACACCCGCCTTGCTGCTGCTCACTGAAGCCAGCGGCTTCCTCCCCAGCGCTGGTCTGAGGGACCGATCGGCAGTCTGGGATGGCCAGGGGTGACCGGCTGCGCCGGGGGTGGGATGGGATGGACGGGGCAAGGCCAGGTGCAGAAGGGGGCGAACCCTGCACAATCCGCACCTAACACACAAGCTTCCTAGCCGAAAATGCCACGGAAGCGTCTGTCCTCTTGCCGAATTAAACAGAGAGAAATGAAAGTGCAGGTAATAAACAGAGGGCCCTGCCATGAGCCGCATGTGTGCGG